CTGCCTCCTTGTACCTGACCCCTTGTACCTGACCCCTTGTACCTGACCCCTTGTACCTGACCTCTTGTACCTGACCCCTTGTATCTCACCTTTTACCTGACCCCTTGTATCTCACCCCTTGTACCTGACCCCTTGTATCTCACCCCTTGAACCTGACCCCTTGTACCTGACCTCTTGTACCTGACCTCTTGTACCTGACCCCTTGTATCTCACCCCTTTTACCTGACCCCTTGTATCTCACCCCTTGTACCTGACCCCTTGTATCTCACCCCTAGTACCTGACCCCTTGTGCCTGCCCCCTTGTACCTGACCCGCTTGTACCTGACCCCTTGTACCTGCCCCGTTGTACCTGACCCTTTGTACCTGACCCCTTGTACCTGCCCCCTTGTACCTGCCCCCTTGTACCTGCCCCCTTGTACCTGACCCCTTGTACCTGACCCTTTGTATCTCGCCCCTTGTACCTGAGCCCTTGTATCTCACTCCTTGTACCTGACCCCTTGTACCTGACCCCTTGTACCTGCCCCCTTGTACCTGACCCCCTTGTACCTGACCCCTTGTACCTGCCCCCTTGTACCTGACCCCTTGTACCTGACCCTTTGTATCTCGCCCCTTGTACCTGAGCCCTTGTATCTCACCCCTTGTACCTGACCCCTTGTACCTGACCCCTTGTACCTGCCCTCTTGTACCTGACCCCCTTGTACCTGACCCCTTGTACCTGCCCCCTTGTACCTGACCCCTTGTACCTGACCCCTTGTACCTGCTCCCTTGTACCTGACCCCTTGTATCTCACCCCTTGTACCTGACCCCTTGTACCTGCCCCCTTGTACCCGACCCCTTGTACCTGACCCCTTGTACCTGCCCACTTGTACCTGACCCCTTGTATCTCACTCCTTGTACCTGACCCCTTGGGTCTCACCCCTTGTACCTGCCCCCTTGTACCTGACCCTTTGTATCTCACCCCTTGTACCTGACCCCTTGTACCTGACCACTTGTACCTGACCCCTTGTACCTGACCCCTTGTATCTCACCCCTTGTACCTGACCCCTTGTACCTGCCCCCATGTATCTCACCCCTTGTATCTCACCCCTTGTAACTCACCCCTTGTACCTGACCCCTTGTATCTCACCCCTTGTACCTGGCCCCTTGTACCTGACCCCTTGTACCTGACCCCTTGTATCTCACCCCTTGTAACTGACCTCGTGTACCTGACCCCTTGTACCTGACCCCTTGTATCTGACCCCTCGTATCTGACCCCTTGTATCTGACCCCTTGTACCTGACCCCTTGTACCTGACCCCTTGTACCTGACCCCTTGTATCTGACCCCTTGTACCTGACCTCGTGTACCTGACCCCTTGTACCTGACCTTGTGTACCTGACCCCTTGTACCTGACCTCGTGTACCTGACCTCGTGTACCTGACCCCTTGTACCTGACCTCGTGTACCTGACCCCTTGTACCTGACCTCGTGTACCTGACCCCTTGTACCTGACCCCTTGTACCTTACCCCTTGTACCTGACCCCTTGTACCTGACCCCTTGTAACTGACCCCTTGTATCTGACCCCTTGTCCCTGACCCCTTGTATCTCACCCCTTGTACCTGACCCCTTGTACCTGCCCCCTTGTATCTGACCCTTTGTTTCTGACCCCTTGTACTTGACCCCTTGTAACTGACCCCTTGTACCTGACCCCTTGTACCTGACCCCTTGTATCTGACCCCCTTGTACCTGCCCCCTTGTATCTGACCCTTTGTTTCTGACCCCTTGTACTTGACCCCTTGTAACTGACCCCTTGTACCTGACCCCTTATATCTGACCTCTTGTATCTGACCCCTTGTACCTGACCCCTTGTACCTGACCCCTTGTACCTGACCCCTTATATCTGACCTCTTGTATCTGACCCCTTGTACCTGACCCCTTGTACCTGACCCCTTGTATCTGACCCCTTGTATCTGACCCCTTGTATCTGACCCCTTGTATCTGACCCCTTGTACCTGACCCCTTGTACCTGACCCCTTGTATCTGACCCCTTGTATCTGACCCCTTGTATCTGACCCCTTGTATCTGACCCCTTGTATCTGACCCCTTGTATCTGACCCCTTGTATCTGACCCCTTGTACCTGACCCCTTGTACCTGACCCCTTGTATCTGACCCCTTGTATCTGACCCCTTGTATCTGACCCCTTGTATCTGACCCCTTGTATCTGACCCCTTGTATCTGACCCCTTGTATCTGACCCCTTGTACCTGACCCCTTGTACCTGACCCCTTGTATCTGACCCCTTGTATCTGACCCCTTGTATCTGACCCCTTGTATCTGACCCCTTGTATCTGACCCCTTGTATCTGACCCCTTGTATCTGACCCCTTGTACCTGACCCCTTGTACCTGACCCCTTGTATCTGACCCCTTGTATCTGACCCCTTGTATCTGACCCCTTGTATCTGACCCCTTGTATCTGACCCCTTGTACCTGACCCCTTGTACCTGACCCCTTGTATCTGACCCCTTGTATCTGACCCCTTGTATCTGACCCCTTGTACCTGACCCCTTGTATCTGACCCCTTGTATCTGACCCCTTGTATCTGACCCCTTGTATCTGACCCCTTGTATCTGACCCCTTGTACCGTACACAGAAGAAACTCTCGTTTTTGTTGTATGTTGAAATTTAGATTCATATATTTATTACCAATAGTATAGTAAATAATTATATCGTATTTGGTAATTGTTGCCATGGTAGGCACAGGTAATTGTTGCCATGGTAGCCACAGGTAATTGTTGCCATGGTAGCCACAGGTAATTGTTGCCATGGTTGCCACAGGTAATTGTTGCCATGGTAAGCACAAGTAATTGTTGCCATGGCAGGCACAGGTAATTGTTGACATGGTAAGCACAAGTAATTGTTGCCATGGTAACCACAGGTAATTGTTGTCATGGTAAGCACAAGTAATTGTTGCCATGGCAGGCACAGGTAATTGTTGACATGGTAAGCACAAGTAATTGTTGCCATGGTAACCACAGGTAATTGTTGCCATGGTAACCACAGGTAATTGTTGCCATGGTAGCCACAAGTAATTGTTGCCATGGTAGGCACAGGTAATTGTTGCCATGGCAGGCACAGGTAATTGTTGACATGGTAAGCACAAGTAATTGTTGCCGTGGTAACCACAGGTAATTGTTGCCATGGTAACCACAAGTAATTGTTGCCATGGTAACCACAGATAATTGTTGCCATGGTAGCCACAGGTAATTGTTGCCATGGTAGCCACAGGTAATTGTTGCCATGCTTGCCACAGTTAATTGTTGCCATGGTAGCCACAGGTAATTGTTGCCATGGTAGCCACAGGTAATTGTTGCCATGGTTGCCACAGGTAATTGTTGCCATGGTAGCCACAGGTAATTGTTGCCATGGTAGCCACAGGTAATTGTTGCCATGGTAGCCACAGGTAATTGTTGCCATGGTAGGCACAGGTAATTGTTGCCATGGTAGCCACAGGTAATTGTTGCCATGGTAGCCACAGGTAATTGTTGCCATGGTAGGCACAGGTAATTGTTGCCATGGTAGCCACAGGTAATTGTTGCCATGGTAGCCACAGGTAATTGTTGCCATGGTAGCCACAAGTAATTGTTGCCATGGTAGCCACAGGTAATTGTTGCCATGGTAGCCACAAGTAATTGTTGCCATGGTAACCACAGGTAATTGTTGCCATGGTAGCCACAGGTAATTGTTGCCATGGTAGCCACTGGTAATTGTTGCCATGGTAACCACAGGTAATTGTTGCCATGGTAACCACAGGTAATTGTTGCCATGGTAGCCACAAGTAATTGTTGCCATGGTAACCACAGGTAATTGTTGCCATGGTAGCCACAGGTAATTGTTGCCATGGTAGCCACAGGTAATTGTTGCCATTGTAACCACAGGTAATTGTTGCCATGGTAGCCACAAGTAATTGTTGCCATGGTAGCCACAGGTAATTGTTGCCATGGTAGCCACAAGTAATTGTTGCCATGGTAACCACAGGTAATTGTTGCCATGGTAGCCACAGGTAATTGTTGCCATGGTAGCCACTGGTAATTGTTGCCATGGTAACCACAGGTAATTGTTGCCATGGTAACCACAGGTAATTGTTGCCATGGTAGCCACAAGTAATTGTTGCCATGGTAACCACAGGTAATTGTTGCCATGGTAACCACAGGTAATTGTTGCCATGGTAACCACAGATAATTGTTGCCATGGTAACCACAGGTAATTGTTGCCATGGTAGCCACAAGTAATTGTTGCCATGGTAGCCACAGGTAATTGTTGCCATGGTAGCCACAAGTAATTGTTGCCATGGTAACCACAGGTAATTGTTGCCATGGTAACCACAGGTAATTGTTGCCATGGTAACCACAGATAATTGTTGCCATGGTAACCACAGGTAATTGTTGCCATGGTAGCCACAAGTAATTGTTGCCATGGTAGCCACAGGTAATTGTTGCCATGGTAGCCACAAGTAATTGTTGCCATGGTAACCACAGGTAATTGTTGCCATGGTAGCCACAGGTAATTGTTGCCATGGTAGCCACAGATTATTGTTGCCATGGTAGCCACAGGTAATTGTTGCCATGGTAGCCACTGGTAATTGTTGCCATGGTAGCCACAGATTATTGTTGCCATGGTAGCCACAGGTAATTGTTGCCATGGTAGCCACTGGTAATTGTTGCCATGGTAGCCACAGGTAATTGTTGCCATGGTAGCCACAGGTAATTGTTGCCATGGTAGCCACTGGTAATTGTTGCCATGGTGGGCATAAGTAGTTGTAGCCATGGCAGGCACAGGTAATTGTTGACATGGCAGGCACAGGTAATTGTTGCCATGGCAGGCTAACCGTTGAGTATAGTTCCGTACAGACTTTGAACTTCCTTATCTTCAAACTTTTCTCATTATTAGCGTGTACACATAAATGAAATATCAACGACTTACAACAGTTATGCGATGATTACGATATCATGAAAATAGTGAAGCTATTTCACAGAATTGGAAATGCTGGAGAACAGTCTCGCCTCCAGGGATCCTATGAATATATTAGCAATCTCCTCTCCAGTAGGAGACTTCAGTAGGAGACTCCAGTAGGAGACCCCAGTAGGAGACTCCAGTAGGAGACTCCAGTAGGAGACTCCAGTAGGAGACTCCAGTAGGAGACTCCAGTAGGAGACCCCAGTAGGAGACTCCAGTAGGAGACTCCAGTAGGAGACTCCAGTAGGAGACTCCAGTAGGAGACTCCAGTAGGAGACTCCAGTAGGAGACCTCAGTAGGAGACTCCAGTAGGAGACTCCAGTAGGAGACTCCAGTAGGAGACTCCAGTAGGAGACCCCAGTAGGAGACTCCAGTAGGAGACCCCAGTAGGAGACTCCAGTAGGAGACTCCAGTAGGAGACTCCAGTAGGAGACTCCAGTAGGAGACTCCAGTAGGAGACCCCAGTAGGAGACTCCAGTAGGAGACTCCAGTAGGAGACCCCAGTAGGAGACTCCAGTAGGAGACTCCAGTAGGAGACTCCAGTAGGAGACTCCAGTAGGAGACTCCAGTAGGAGACTCCAGTAGGAGACTCCAGTAGGAGACCTCAATAGGAGACTCCAGTAGGAGACTCCAGTAGGAGACTCCAGTAGGAGACCCCAGTAGGAGACTCCAGTAGGAGACTCCACTGCCGTGACGATTTATTGACGAGGGAACTAATAGCCGCAACAGAAGGGTTTCTTTCCTATGTTAAGGTCGGTCTTGGAGATGAGATCTTGTTGGGTAGTGGAGGGAAGCTTTCCTAATAGCATACTTTAAAGCCTTTGTCACTTGATATTTTAACAGAAAGTGAGGTGGCCGGTGGACGTCCTGGCTTCCTATTCTCAATATTCTTGTTCCTAACTTTTGTGCTGGGAATTGTATGTAGTATATCACAGTGGTGTAAAATGTGTGTTACTAAGTGTAGCTAGCGTATTAGACAAGGTTAGTGAAGACGACGAGTCACAATAACGTGGCTTAACATATGGCGACCAAACCACACACCAGAAGATGGAGAAACGACGACGTTTCGGTCCTTCCTGGACCATTATCAAGTTGCGTAGAGTAGAGAGGATGTTGTTGTTTTAGATTCAACTACTCGGAAAAAAGTTGAAAGTAGCAGAGGCTATGGTGAGCCCGTAGTGGACTTATCTGGCTCAGAAGCGGGGCTGTAACTTTGTCGTATAGAGGAATATACAGACAAATATATAAGGTAAGAGAGTAAGATGAGAGGTGAGGAGCAGGTAAGAGAAGGAAAGAAAAAGATAAGAATAGGAGGAATGTAAGGATATGATAAATTAATCAGTAGGAGCCATGTGGAGGATACGAACCCCCTTACTTAGGTACTCCCAAGGAGAGTGCATGTACCTAGACACCCACGACGACACGGTCAAAAACAATGTAACCTGGGATTCCTCTGAATCCTCAAGGATTCCTGAGGCTTACAACTGAAGCCCGATCAGAGTTTCAAGCATTGCCCCCTCGTGCACTGTGGCTTAGGTCCAGTAACTCTTCTCCAGAACTTCTCGTCAAGTACACAATGAACTCACACTAACGTGGTGTAGCACTGGGAACATCAGTAGGAACCATGAGGAAAGGCTCCTACTGAGGAGTGTGTGTACCTCCACAGGTCTGAGTGTGTGTACCTCCACAGGTCTGAGTGTGTGTACCTCCACAGGTCTGAGTGTGTGTACCTCCACAGGTCTGAGTGTGTGTACCTCCTCAGGTCTGAATGTGTGTATCTCCACAGGTGTGAGTGTGTGTACCTCCACAGGTCTGAGTGTGTGTACCTCCACAGGTCTGAGTGTGTTTACCTCCACAGGTCTGAGTGTGTGTACCTCCACAGGTCTGAGTGTGTGTACCTCCACAGGTCTGAGTGTGTGTACCTCCACAGGTCTGAGTGTGTGTACCTCCACAGGTCTGAATGTGTGTACCTCCACAGGTCTGAGTGTGTGTACCTCCACAGGTCTGAGTGTGTGTACCTCCTCAGGTCTGAGTGTGTGTACCTCCAGAGGTCTGAGTGTGTGTACCTCCACAGGTCGGAGTGTGTGTACCTCCACAGGTCTGAGTGTGTGTACCTCCACAGGTCTGAGTGTGTGTACCTCCACAGGTCTGAGTGTGTGTACCTCCACAGGTCTGAGTGTGTGTACACCTCCACAGGTCTGAGTGTGTGTACCTCCACAGGTCTGAGTGTGTGTACCTCCACAGGTCTGAGTGGTGAAAGCTTCTGGATCGACGGGACTGACAGAGCGACGGACTGGCCGCCGTCATTGACATCGAGCAGCTCAGAGCAATATTCCTCTACCTCCACACGGAAGGTAAAGATACTGGGGAGTGGGGGGGGGAGGGTTATACACCTAGTTGTACAATAAAGGAAAGAATACTCATTGATCACTACCTGTGTGTTGCAGGGATCAATAATCACTACCTGTGTGTTGCAGGGATCAATAATCACTATCTGTGTGTTGCAGGGATCGCTGGTCACTCCTTCTGGCTGGGCGGCTCCGACGCGGCGACGGAGGTCGTGTGGACGTGGACGGACGGACAGCCCGTCACTATGGGTGCGTCGCGTCCCTTCACATATGGGACTAATATAACAAGAACCCGGCAATGTGATGTTATAGTGGCCAGAATACGCCTGGGATATAGACGTATCTGGCAGCTTTCTCAAAACCCAAATGTCGAGTAGACAATGTGTCAACTTTGTGAAAGAGAAAACATGCACTCTTTTGAACATTATATTGTAGAATGTCCCATACTGACTGACTTTCGCCCTCCTGGGCTAAGGTATGCTGAACTCTGTAATTACTATATGAGTACTGGAACACTTGATGATATATTGGACTTGTACCCAAGATTAACCATGTAATGTATCAATTATACAATGTACGAATGTTATGTAACTATATAACCTGAGCTTGTAAAAGCACCTTAATCACCTTCAGTGATTAAGTGCTAAATTGCACACTAGTTTCTCTATCAGCTATCTCACCCTGTCAGAGTAAAAGAGACAAATGTATGTGAATGCATGTGTGTGTGTATATATGTATGTATAAATGTATATGTATGTATATGTGTGTGTGTATGTATATGTATGTGTATAAAGTATATATGGAAGCTTATCAGAATTACATTTCACCTTTGTAAATGCACATTAATGAAACTATGTACAAGACACATAGAACACTTTATGTAGGGCATATGTAAATCTGTGGATCTATGTATTTACGTATGTAGGTTAGCTTAGCATTTTAAAAACCGAATCACCTTCTGTGGTTGAGTGTTCAATAAACCCTTGAACTATATGTTTAACACATCTCTAACCCTGTCCATGGAGGACAGAAGAAAATGTATATATGCTGGTTAGCATTGTAAATGTGTGGCCACGTTTATGGTAGAAAATAATAATAATAATAATAAAAACTCTTTCCTCACACTCTTTGCAATTACAATCATTCGTGACAAGTTAATAAGTCATAATAAATATTATTCAAAGGGGATGCAACAAAGTGGTAATCATATATTTGTCAACGTTGAGAATTGCCACCACTGCACTGATCGAACATTGCAGCATCCTAGTTAAACTGATAAGGCATAATATTAACAAAGTTGAACATCTTAATTATCCCTTAGGATAAGGGAGAAAATATAAGCATCAATGAACATTAAGGGCAAATTAGATTTTTTGTTTTCTACTACAAACGTGGCCACACATTTACAATGCTAACCAGTATATACATTTTCTTTTGTCCTCTATGGACATGGGGAGAGATCTGATAAACATATAGTTCAGGGATTTATTGAACAATCAACTACAGAAGGTGATTGTAGTGCTTTTAACATGCTAATCCAACCTACATACATAAATACACAGACTTTCGTCCGTGTTCAAGGTGTCTTTTACATAGTGTCATTAATGGGCGTTAACGAAGGTGGAATGCAATTCTGACCAGCTTACACATATCCTGCATTGTCATATTTACATATATACATACACATATACATGTCTCTCCTCCTTTGACAAGGAGAGATAGCTGCTAAAGAAATTAGTGTTATATTAAGCACTTAACCACTGAAGGTGATTAAGTTGCTTTCATAAGCTCAGGTTATAGTTGAATCGCAAACATTGAATAACTGATGCATTACATAGTCAATCTTTGGTACATGTCCTGAATATCATCAAGTTTTCCAGTATTTATAGAGTATCAACAGAGTTCAGTATACCTCAGCCCACGGAGGTGAAAGTCAGTCAATATGGGACATTCTACATTATAATGTTCACGGCAAATGGGTAAACGTTTAATCTTTGTATAATTGGTGATCAAGTCAGGTGATGTATGACTGCTGCCTGAGAGTGACAGAGAGCTCTGGGAACAGAGCTGCCTTGATAGGACAGAGTAGTCAGTGTCTCGGTGCTCACAGACCCACACTGTAGCTAGAATGTTGTCTGCCTCCCCCTCAACACATCTCTGATTCTCACCGCTTTAACATCCCAGATATTCATCAACTACTCGATGATATTACGGATTATTTAATTCGTTCCGATGATAAGAGAGTCCCTCTGCTTGACCTTGTGGAGATGTGAGGATGAGAGAGATGCAAACACTAAACTGGCTCACCAAGTTATCCAAACTATATGATCAATATATTTATATGAACGACTTGATTTGGCAATTTTTAGACAGATTCAGCACATGAGAGTGAACCCGAAATTAAATAATCAACCTATGTTGTATGTAATATAACTTAGATACATTTGTGCATACATGCATTTCCATATGTATAATAGCACAACTTAAGTGAAGATATTTTAATATTTGTCTTGACAAGTTCTTCAACATGATGTACCGCGGACAATCATTGTTGTGATTTGACAGTTTTTATTCTCAATGGAAAACTATAAATAACTTCCAAGCGCACATGTACTCAACACTGTACCTAGTGACGTCACTTACATATTAGGTTCCATAATCGACATCGACTTGAGAATGGTCCAGGACGGACCGAAACGTCGTCGTCCCTTCAACTTCTAGTGTGTGGTCTGGTCAACATTAGGTTCCATACATATTAGTGCACATAACTGCCAATAATATTGTAGTGTTCAGCTGACTATATGTTCCACTCCGTAACACTTCTCTCTCTCTCTCTCCAGGGTCGCCCTTCTGGGGTTATGTGAGCCCTAACGTGCTGGAGCCAGATGGCGGTACAGCCGAGAACTGTATCCTGCTGGACGCCCAGGGTTACCACTACTTCCGTGACGCCTCCTGTAGCCTGCTGGTGACCCCACTCTGTATGGCTCCCCTGTAGTCTGCTGGTGACCCCACTCTGTATGGCAACCTTGTAGTATGCTGGTGACCCCACTGTGTATGGCAACCTTGTAGTATGCTGGTGACCCCACTGTGTATGGCAACCTTGTAGTATGCTGGTGACCCCACTGAGTGTTAGTCCCCTGAAGTCTGCTGGTGGCACCACTGTGCGTGGCTCCCCTCTAGTCTGCTGGTGACCCCACTGTGTGTTGGAGACGAGTAGTCTGCTGGTGACTCTGCTCTGAATGGCTCCTCAGTAGCCAGAGAGTTATCAGCTTTGAAGTACAGTTGCAGCCTCGTTAAGTCATATATAAATTTTGATGCTAATTACCTTGATTGTGAGGCTTCATATTTATCACCTGCAAGATTTATATTAAAAGCGTTTCCATGTACACTCAAGTTTAATTTTATCCTTCTTCGTTGAATTTTACTAATATAGTTAAGATTTTGAATTTACTCTCACACAATATACTGAGTGTGGAGCGAAAAGGCATGTACGTGACTAAGCTTGTCGGAGGTGCTGGAGTTGCTGTTCCCTTACGAGTGTGTATATCCAGACACAGGTAACGAGAAGGGAGAACCATGACCATCATACTACAGTCTGCTCGTAGCACACACCCAGATAGTTCACACATGTTGCTCGTAACAAGGCCAGTAAGAGGTACTGTATTATCCCTTTCACAAGATCTTGGGGGCAGAGCACAAGACCCCGAACATTGTGGATATATTGAGTGTTATTACGAGGTAGAGAACCAGTATGCCCCAAGAGACAGTGGTATTAGCGTGCTCTCACGAGAGAACTATTCTACAGCTGGGAGACGGACTGACTGCCAGAGAGTTCATCAGTCTGCGGGAGTTGTTGTACAGCAAGAAACTGCACTATAATTGGCACAGTTTACTGGAGTCCCCCTTGGTGTTGGTACAAAGAGGATAGTATAATACTTCCCAGTACTATTTTAGTGACCCTACTGTTTATGACTCCCCAGTACTGTGCTGGTGACCCTACTGTGTGTGGCTACCCGGTTCTGTGCTGGTGACCCTACTGTTTGTGGCTATCCAGTGCTGTGCTGGTGACCCCACTGTGTGTGGCTACCCAGTACTGTGCTGGTGACCCTACTGTTTGTGGCTATCCAGTGCTGTGCTGGTGACCCCACTGTGTGTGGCTACCCAGTACTGTGCTGGTGACCCTACTGTTTGTGGCTATCCAGTGCTGTGCTGGTGACCCCACTGTGTGTGGCTACCCAGTACTGTGCTGGTGACTCCACTGTGTGGCTACCCAGTACT